ATTGTCAGCAATGGTTTCCTTTTGGTGAAAAATTAAAATTTATCTTTTTCAGGACAGAAAAAATCCATACATTGTGATCGCTAATAATTATGTTAAGAAGAAATCTTCTGTCTGTTAAACAATTATGTTTTTTTTTTATTTTTAGACGGTTCCAATTCCTGTTTTGTTACCAATTATTGCTCTTAATGCATTGGAACATTTCAACGTAACGGATAGCAAGCTTGCCTCGCTAGATCAATTACAAGTGAATAGTGAGATTGATCCTCGCTGGGTGCTGCATACTTTCGGCCCTGTCCCACAATAGAGTTGTGCTTAGTACATCACTATATTCTTGCGCACTTTGATGTGATGTAATGGTTAACAAGCTGTAGTGAGCTCGATCCTTACTGGGGTTCCCATTTCGGAGTAGTGAGCTCGATCCATACTGGGGTTCCCATTTCTCCTAATGCATATGTAGGCATCGTAACGGAAATGACCCAAAAGGTCAAATTCTATCTTCTCCTAGGGTGCTCATTTCGCTCTAATTCCTTTAATTATGCCCCCGGCATTGCGTTACACAGCCAGGGATCGCTAACCTTGTATGGAAATCAGTGTAAGACAAAAGTAACTCTGCTGCATTTTTCAAGAAATCTTTGAACTTCACAAATAATAAATAAAAAAAATATCTTTGGTGAGCATTCTTTAGGGCCAAACAGACCAGAACGCTGATTTGAACATTTTTCATTTAAATAAAGCAAATAATTTTTTTTTTTTTTTTTTGGTTCCAGAAGACCGTAAATGGTTGGACCTGTGACGCGCAATCATTTCACGTATCCCGTAACTCCATAAGCTGCTGGAGATGTGATGTACCTACGAACATCTCCAGCAGTCATAACTGCAGTGTTATGTCTTGAATTCAAAGTTATCTTTTTCCAACCAAGGCTATAGCACACACCCTGTCCTGATATTTAACAAGAGATGGATTCTTATCTTTCTCAAGACTATTATTAATGAATGTAATTAATTCGACTGTTATTCGAACTTGGCTCTCAGATTTCTCAAATCAAGCCGCTATCCATTAATCATTCGCGTCTCCTCAAGCTGTTGCAGTTTGCAAAAGCAGATGTGATATTAAATTTTCACTGAACAGACGACGCAAAATTCTTTAGAAATCGGAACGTCACAAGGTGAGATCTAAAAATTTGCAGCACCTTTTTTTTTTACCTGTTACGTATTACTTTGTTTAAATTTTGTAAGGCACCTTCGGATTCCGGTGTCAAAGTTTCCGTCATTTCTTTAAATTCTTTCCAGATATTTAAATAGCTATATTTACTTGATTTTGACATGCCCTATTCAGAACACACTTCTTAGGACGTTCCTCTTAGTGATGAGAAAAGTTTGTCTTACAATTAATGGTGAGCCATTTCTTCTCGATTTGTTTAACTATATTGTCAAAGAGATCCTGAAGTTAACTTTTTGCAATTATCTTTCTCTTGCTATCATTCCACCAGGTCAATTTTATCTGGTCATCTTTTAGTGTGAAGCTTGCTTCAGACTAAAAGAAATCGTTTAAGTCATCTATTTTTTTTAGGACAGCCTCGTTTTAAATTTAAATAAATACGATGTGCAGAAGCATAATTGTCGTAAGGTATTTTATTTCAATTTTTAATTTCGATTAAATGAAATAAAATTCAGTGATATTAGTTTCCTCTTGGTTGAATAACATTTTTTTTCGTTAACTGAAGAATTTCTGCAAGTCTATATCGGTCGTTCATTTCTTTTCTTTTTCTTGTAATATTTTCTCTGTTATGTTAAAAGATGGTAACTTTCGTCTTTATATATTCTTTCATCTATTTCTGTGTGCTATTTTCGCTTACTTAAATCATTTTGGTTATATTTTTTGGCTTCATTTTGTTTTCAACTCTTACGCACAATATTTAAACCAATCCAACACAGGTTGTCGAAATCTGCAAGTGTCCAACGATCTTTTTTTTTTTTGTCTTTTTATAAAAAAAAAATAAAAGATGTCCCAAGCTTAGAGGAATATAAATCAAAAGCTAATGAGAAAAAGGAATATAAAACAAGAATAGAAATGCAAAGACACACGGAGAAAACTAAACAGGGAGAGTCAAGTAACCACAAAATGAAAAAAAAGTAAATGATAATACTTGCTTTGGTTCATAAAACATTACATCGATCTAAACGCAAATTTCAGAAATTAGCAACCAACTCATAACGTATATACAGACGTACAAACACACACACATGCACACACATATATATGAATATATATATATATATATATATATATATATATATATATATATATGTGTGTGTGTGTGTGCGTGTGTGTATGTATGTATATATATATAGAGAGACAGATAGAGACAGAGTGCCATGGATGAATTGTCGCTATTCATATTTTTAAATTTCCCTCATGCGCGTTGTTTGTTTCTGATTTTATAGATCGCACAGTATAGAAGGGTCAGTTGGACACCGTCTGTGAGAAAAATTCACTCCGCCGGAAATTTAGAAAGTGCACGCTGTGTTGCATGACATTTGCGCCGGAAGTTCAAACACGAATATTTCAGGGTATCTGGATGTCAATCTGAGTACACTTCAGAAGATTCGGAGAGAGTTGGATGAGTCTAATGGTGATTACGAAGGTATGGCAGTTCAGAAAATTCACTCTAATCGTTCCGATGAGAAATGTACTACCGGATTTGTTGCTGAGGGCCTCAGGCTCAACACGGAGGTCGACATCAAGTGCCTGTTCAAAAATATGATTGATGGAACATCTGGCATCCGAACCCTGTAATATGCCACACACGCACGAGAAGCTAGTCATGGTTGTCAGCTAATTTCTGCGACCACCTTACCGCTTATATCTGGCCACATAACTCCCTAGACTACAACCCTCTTGGTTATTAGATCTGTGGCTTAGTTGAGCGAGAGACCAATAAAACTTCTTTGGAACTCAAAAGAGGAACTGAAGGCAAGGATTATGGCATCATCCACCGACTTAAACAAGGACACCTTCCAAAAGAGATGATGGTGATTTGGAAATAAAATGGAGGCCATGGTTGAGCCTATGACGATCTTATTCGATTAAATTACTCTTTAGCATTCCAAGATATTTTTTTTGTAATTTTGATAAATATATCGCTTAAAATAAAATGGTGTTAATTTCATTTTAGCATAATTTGATGACAATTTATCCACCGCATCATTTACACACACACACACACATATAAATATATATATATATATATATATATATATGTATATGTGTCTATGGTGTTGGAAAGATATGTAATTTTAATGGTACAGGGCAGTTGTAGAAATTCAATTTTGCCATGTGTCATCAGTGAAACGGAAATTTGTGTTTTTACATGATTCGACGATATATATATATATATATATATATATATATATATATATACATTTTCTAAAAGGAAACTTTCTAAAATTGCTCCATATATGTATATGCATGAGACCATTTTTACACCCACACACACACACGTATATATAAATATATATATATATATATATATATATATATATATATATATATATATACACACGAAACAATTTTAGAAATTTCTGTTTTCACATGTTTCGCCAATATATATATATATATATATATATATATATATATATATATATATATGACAACCATATCCAAGTAATGTGAGTGAAATTGGGTAGACGGAACTCTTTGGGGAGACATCGATGGTCATGCTAGTACAAATTCACAAGCCATTGTGACCGAGACTTTGAACCTTGTTCCCATTAGATAATTCGCTCTCATACGGATCAGATTGGCCATCCAATATATATATATATATATAGATAGATAGATAGATAGAGAGAGAGATATAAATTAACGACGAAACTGTTTGGAAGGTAGCACGTATTCACAAGGTTTTCGCAGCATGTAATCACAAAACAGCGTGACCGAGAGGTTTAGCGTACTAGCTTTGTTCAAACTGCTGATCAGGCCAGGTCATGCGCTGTTTCCCAGAAAATATAAGTATTAGGTTGGTTCAAAAATATATCGTTTTTTGACGTTCAACTTCAAAAGATCATAACTCTTTTCATAATAAACTTTATTAATCGAAATAAGAACCATTAGAATCGACACATTTTTGCCAACGAGAAACAAGTTTATTTATCCCATTAATATAGAAATCCTGATTTCTGGAAGCGATGAAGTCATTGAAGGCCGATTTGGCATCATCTCGGCTTTTGAAGCATTTTTCGCGCAGGAAGTTGTGTTGAAACTTGAAAAAGTGATAATCGGTGGGCGAGAGGTCCGGTGAATATGGCGGATGAGGCTGAGTCTCGTAGCCCAATTCGTTCAGCTTCTGCAGGGTCAGTTGAGCAACATGCGGGCGAGCGTTGTCATGGAGGAGAATTGGTCCCTTCATATTGACCAATCTCGGGCACATACGTTGGAGCTTCTGGTGCATTTCGTCAATTTGTCAGCAGTACTTCTCCGCCGTAATCGTTTCGCCCGGATTCAAGAAGCTGTGATGGATGAGACTGGTCGCAGACCACCAAACACTCACCATAACCTTTTTTTAGTGCAATTTCGGCTTCGGGAAGTGTTGTGGAGCTTCCCCGGCATCCAACCACTGTGCCGAACGTCGCCGGTTGTCGTAGAGGATCCACTTCTCATCACACGTCACAATCCGCTCGAGAAATGGGTCGTTTTTGTTGCGCAGAAGGAGCGTAGAAGATACCTCAAAACGACGATTTTTTTTATTATCGTTCAATTCATGCGGCACCCATTTATCAAACTTTTTTGAATTCCCTATTTGCTTTAAATGGCGAACGACTGTTGAGTGGTTGACCTCGAGTTCAACAGCAACTTCTCGTGTGGTTTAAGGCTTTCAAATGTTCGTTATCAACCGCAGTCGGCCGGCCGCGACCGTCTTCATCTTCGAGACTCTCGTCACCATTGAAATTTCTTGAACCACCGTTGTGCCTCACTTTCGTTAATGGTTCCTGGGCCAAACGCATCATTGATATCACGAGCTGTCTCGGCAGCTTTTTGGCCTAGTTTGAACAGGAACAAGAAAATCGTGCGGATTTGAATTTTGTCCATGCTGTCGAAAAGCCTGCAAAAAAATGAATGAAGAGATTGAGAACGGTAACGAATAACACGATTCGATAGAGCGAAAAATGCGCTTCAAAATGATATATAACATGGCTATATATATCAATGAATTAATTCAGAAATCATATATAAATGTAACATATATCAGAAAACGACATTATTTTTGCACCAACCTAATAATTTCTACCAACGGAGCCAAGTTAACGAACGTACACTCATTCCGGAAATATCTGATATTACATATATAGGTATTAGCATTTCAAGAATCAATATGGTGTCTGTGTGGTAGGCAGAATTCCAGTCTCTACCTCCTGGTATTCTTTGCAAAAATGGTAATTTGAAAAAGTCTACGATAACGTCATGTGTAATGGCTATTAGAAACGAGGCGATACCAAAAAGATTATGATTTTTAAAAATATAAGAACACCTCATCAAGAAAGAGATTAATAAAGTAATTACGGCAAACTCCTCGGAGAACAGATTCCTCAGACTTTACTAAACTGTGGGTGTGTATTAGCATGACTACCTCCACGGGAACTTCTATATATCATAATACAACAAATCCCACCTCCTGGATATCAAGTAGCAAAATACTTAACTTACTTATACTCCGATAATCACCTAGTAAGTATAACATTAACTCTATGAATTTCTCGGCATATTAAAATCTAATAAACTAAATAATGGCATCCTAACCTCGTTCGATGCTAAAAAGTATTCAACAATGTCCCTGTCAAAGAATCCATAGACATTGTTCCACAAAACTTATTCAATCCCCGCTTCCTACAAGCATATTAAAATTAGACCAACTGTGACAACCTTTTCTAACTTTCACGACACAAGTAACAATTTATTACCGCTATGCCAACATTTATCCACAAACTGACATCGGAGAAATGTCTTAACCACTTGAAACGACTCTATTTAATTTCTACTTGAATCATGTAGAAAACGAAGTCTCCAATAAGTCTCCCATCCGTTTATGTCTGTTATAACGACGACCTCTTCATCGTAGCCAAACGCCTTTACGAAATAAAAGACCTTAAAGAAACCTTTGAGAATAACTTCGTCGTACACATAAAATTCAAACTCATTATTAACAATAAAATCCTTTTCCTCGATGTCTCTTTCTATACCTACAGCCATAACTTTACCACCGACAAATAGAAATTCGTGTCTACTCAACTGCAAAATTGAATATCCTCACAGATATAAAATAGCTGTTATGAAGCATATGACTTATCGGGACAAAATAATTTCTTCTTCAGACATATTGTTCCATAAGGAAGTAAGCAACATTAAACAAAGTCTAATTAACAATAACTTCTCTAACGATAACGATGACGAAGAAAGAAAATTAACCTTAAAGAAATTTTTGAAAATATGACGAATGACATCTCTCTGAATTAAACAAAAATAAACAACATCAAATAATTTATTCCATCATAATCAATTACGCGCTAATTGTAAACAGGACGAAAAAGCAATTAAGAAATATTAAATCGCCGATATATATCAATCAATGGTTTTAAGAAACATCTAAGATTTATAATTAACTATAAAAAAGTTTAAAATGCTTAATCTAATTAGTACCAACAGCACGGGAGCTTAAAAATATCCCCTGTGTAAAAAAATAATTTTGTCTATGAATTCACAGTACATTTCCAAAAGTAATAACAAAAAAGAAACAGTATCAACTTCTTACATCGGAGACACACGCGCCACACGTTGACCTGTCACGTGTCGAAACTAAAAAGAATCCGTGCCCACATCGACCAGCTTATTGCGAATGACTAAAATATGCTTGTGGAAAATACCAAATGCAAGGAAACACATAAATCAAATATCTTTCATAGCTTCACCACAGGTGATATTATCTTGGAGTTAATATCATATCGTAAATGTGCGCATATATATTTTTTAAAAATCGCATTCTGTCTTGTGCAGCCACGTTTTCAATAATGACGTCACCGTAGAAAATTTCAAATCTCAAACTATCCAAAAAACATCTGGAAAGAAATTCTACTGAACATACAGGCACCATGTTAGTTCTTAAAAAGAACCTTGACTGTCCAAAGTAATTGAACAAAGCAATAACACAACAACAAAATCGAACTGGTTGTCCCAAATTTCTAATACAAGATTCCACACCTGATTCGAAAATTGGAAAAATAGTAATAAAATATTAAACAGACAAAGCTTGTCGGTTATTTTCCATCAAAATTGTTTTGGCGAATAGTTGCCTCCAAAATGTGTCTATATATACAGAATGACAGACGGAGACAGTGTGGACAGTGTGAACATGAGATCCAACATTGCTTGATGAAAGTCATTTTTAACTTTGATGTAATCTTCTGAACATTGTATTAAAGCGTGGCAATGACAATCATTATGCAGCCTTGATCCCTATGTCCACACTGCCTAATTACACACACACACACACACACACACACATATATATATATATATATATATATACACTAATATTTCATGGTTATAATTTATTACATTGGATCATGATTGTGATTCCAATGTAATGAAATATAACCATGGAATATTAGTGTTTGAGCCTTTGATATTATATTCTTACTCTGTCCTGTACATTGAGTTCTACCTGGATAGATCAAGTATCGACCATCATAAAGACTGAAAAATAAAATTGACAAAGATTATTGTTTAAGGTTGACGGACACGCATGTCTTAAATGTTTTTTTTTTTTTTTTTTGTTATTTTACGAATTGGTCGAACCCAAACTCAGACAAAAACATTGTTTTCAATCGTTATGAGTCTACCGATTGAATAGAATTTTTCAATTTTTTATAAACATTGTCTTGTAAATGGAATTTTTAAAGCATTCTGAATGGAAAAATAAAGAAAAAAGTGTGCAAGGCAAAAAGAAACACTACCTGCCAAAAAAAAGTGAAGTTTTGTTGAAATCGGTTGAAAAATGTAGGAAATCCGATCCCATATATAAACGAACACACACACACACATACACACACACACATACACACGCAAACAACCTGGGTTTTATAATAAGTATAACTCGATATGAGTTGTCCCCCTTTCATTCTCGAAACAGCGATGACTCTTAATCGTGTTTTTAAATTGATTCCGTGCAAAAACAATTGTGTTTTTCCAATTTTTGGCACTGCCAGAACCGCCGCAAGGTAATTTTACGTAGTCCTGTGAAGTTTTGTTGAAATCGGTTGAAAAATGTAGGAAATCCGATCCAATATAAAAACGTACAGACACACATACACACAACCTGGGTTTTATAATATAGACCACTAATATTATCTTTCTCTCTCTCTCTCTCTCTCTCTTTATATATATATATATATATATATATATATATATATATATAAATCACATATAATATAAACTCAGAAATTTGCACTAAATCTACATTAGCTTTGTTATCCTAACACGTGTATATGTTAGTGTTAACTATACTAACCGCGAGGTCGTGAATGCACACGCATACAAACACAATAGACTTCAATAGACTTATTGCATTACCTGACTCCAAAGTTTCGTGTGAAAACACTCGTCAGGGCCATATATGATGTTCGATATATCTCTCTATCTCTATTTCTCTATCGCTTCATCATTCTCTCTCTTATTTTATCTCGCTCCCATTCTCGACAGGTATATATATATATATATATATATATATATATATATATATATATATATATATATAATGACAATAGATATTTCTTGTGATGCAAGGTGAACATGGAATCATAATTTTTCTGGTGGAATTTTATCATTGTCTGAGAAGAATCATACGACATTTTTAAAAGTCAATCAATAAAATTAATCAACACAAAATAATAATATCTAACTTAAAGAATATTTTTGCATAGCTACAGAGAATATATATTTATTCATTCAGGGAATATATATATATATATATATATATATATATATATATATATATATATATATATATTTTATACATTTTATACAAAAGCAATAACACAAGAAATTCGAACTGTTTGCCCCAATTTCGAATACAAGATTCATTATCCAAATAACATCGGGAAAGAAATTCTAACGATCACACAGGCACATGTTATTTCTTGAAAATAACCGAGACTGTCCAAAGTACTTGAACAAAGCAAATGCTCTGTTTATAATAAACAATATTAAAAGAATTTACAGGCCTGAATGTCCGCAAAATTTCTTAGAAAATACGTGACCTCAAACAGGATTCGAACCTGTATGGAACCGTCATATAGCCTGATTTAATTACACAGGAGGTAACAGGTTATTCAGGTCGTACTACTGATTTCAAACTGTAAATATCTCATGATTTCTCTCGAAGGCTGATATGTGCTTGTAGCGTAACTTAACGTAAACAAAAGACGCCATATAATATGAAATGGACTAAGTAATATATCTATTGTTTATACGTTATATTTATAGATCGAAATATTTAAGTAAATGATCTTTTCATAAAAATTAGTAGCAACATTTACGGCCTGAATGTCTGAGAAATTTCATAGAAAATATGTGTCCTCCGAAAAGGAATCGAATCTGCATTCTATACGGAATGATCATATAGACTGTTTTATATTTACATATATATTTATATATATATTTACATCTCTATATGGATAGATAGATAGAAAGATAGATAGATAGATGGATAGATAGATATTTTGCTAAGGTCCTGAACCATGTCTAAAAGTGTTTAGGTTTAGTGTGTGTTAATAAAAATATGTATAATCAATTGACATGTTTTATATATGGTAAGCTTGAGTAATTGATTTTCTAAAAACTTACATTTACATCTCTCTCACTCTCTCTCTCTCTCTCTCTCTCTCTCTATATATATATATATATATATATATATATATATATATATATATACATGCGACTTGATTCTAAATATAAACGTCATTTTTGCTTCTATTTTCTTTAAAGCGTCCTCATTAACCACATATATGGTCAATGGATTTCTCAATATCCTTATGCAGAGGCACATTTCAGTTGCCTCAAGTCAATTCCGCAACTGTGAAGAGATTGTGCAGTTTTCACTCATATATATGAGGACAATTATTACAAAAGACTTTACTTCTATTTCCTTTAGGTTCTAACAAAATCTGTTCTGTTTCAGATTTCAGTGTCAAATTTTCCGTCATATATTAAAACATTTCCCAGACACTTAATTTTTCGTATCACCTCCATTTTGAATATTGGATCTTGGGATATTAAACTTATTATTATCCTTATGCAGAGGCACATTTCAGTTGCCTCAACTCACTATGAACGTTAAAACGTACAGGCTAAGTTTAGTATAATTATAAATGAATCGAAAGAAGGTCTTTACATTATTATAATGCATTACATATAATAATAAATTAATTAATAATAAACAATTATGTAAGATATTAACACACAACATGTTAGGTGTAAATAACTGGATTGGGTCCCATAACTGTTTCTACTCAATAACCTCCAGAATAATCTGAAATATTACAGTTACCGCCTACCCAGTAACTGTCCTTGCTGATCGTAATGCACCACTTAGCAGCATATATTAATAGTCGAGCAAAAATACAACACACATGGCTTGAAGATCGCGTAGAAATTGACTGTTGTCTCTCTGTGTTTACCTAAGTGTCACTTTTTATATTTACATATGATCTATCCCAGATGTTGAACACTTTTACCCATAAATATAGCATACTATGAAGTTATATTTTTATATCATATAAATATACTAGCGTTTATATCATATAAATATACTAGCGTTATATCATATAAATATACTAGCGTTGCCTGGGTTTATTCAAAAAAAGATCATGAACCTCATACAATCTGTGAAGTTAAAATAAGGAAGTTTTTTTTAGTGCATCTTATCTATATGCCGATTAATTATAATGACATGAGGTGTGAAAGCTATTATAACAGGAGAAAGTTGTTTTTTACAGAAGCACAGAAGATACAAAAATGTCAGCAAATGAAGAGTACATTAATTGCAATCGATCTTCGAAAATTGTTGAGGAGAAATGCTTTGTTGACAGATTTTGCTCAAACTACATCAAATGAACAACATGCATTGGAAGGAGAAGACTTCTCTTAGCAGCCGTGCCAAGGCTGAAAAACCAACGTTCACAAAGACTGTATAGAATTGTTCTTTGCCCCTCAGTTTCGACAGCTCGAGTAGCATAAGTTCTGGCAGCGTTCCTTCCTCGTCTAGTTAACCGTTGTTCATTAGTTTCTGCTGACCTTGCATTTGCTGTACGAATAGCATTTAGTGTCAGTCTAATTTGAGTTTCTTGTTGCGAAGCGTTTCTTCTTCGTGGTTTCATACGTTTAGCTGTAGTAGTAGCACGTCCAAGTGAAGGATTTCACTTTCTTGGCATTACTGTCAGGCTGTAGTTGGAGGGGGCTGGCTAAGCATTTTGAATAACAATGAAGTAATCAATTAAAAAGCAAGAATATTATACACATTAATGGAAATATAGCCAGAATAAATTAAATGCAAGTTTATAAGGGAGACCACGGGAACGTGGTCAACAATTATAAGCAAGCTCGTAATGTTAGGATTTATCTAAAAATAGACTCCCAATACAATGTTCTAGTGATAAAAATAAAAATTAACGTGCAACTAGAAACCTACTCACTATGAACGTTACAACGTACAGGCTAAGTTTAGTATAATTATAAATGAATCGAAAGAAGGTCTTTACATTATTATAATGCATTTTTCAGAAAAATATGTCAAAATTTTAGGGCTCAAGTTTCCAAATATAGTAAGCATTATTTAACGCTGATTAGATGATGATAAATACATAATTAAAAATTGGCATTTACGTTTAAACATTTTTAATAATATGATTTTCACAAATTTAAATTTAAAGTATCAAAAATTCAAAATATACATGCATGAAGGCAGCCTACCTTTTTAATGGATGACAACTTTGATGAGATGAGATTTTTTTGCATTTATTTCATCACATAGCACCAATGAAAAATACACGTGAAGCAAAATCGATAGTACGCACTACATAACTCGATCGATCATTGCTCGTGGAGCAAAATCAATGGTACACACTACACATCTCGATCGATCTTGCACACGCGTCTTATACCTACGTGCACTTCTCTCATCGGTGCACCCTTTCGTTTGCACTTATTCTTTTTTTTCTGAAGGAAGGATATAATTTTTGCCGTCAAGTTAATGCAAACTAAACTATTTCAGTACTAAAACGGGAAATCCATGGGGAAAATGAAAAATGAAATTTTTCACAATGTATTTATGACACATGGGGGTCAGTTTTGATTTTGAGTTGAGTTGATTGATCTAAACACAAATTATATGCATATTTTCATCAGAGTGCTGCTAACCACTACAATTGAAAGACTAATAGGGCAGCAAGGTGTTCATGGGTCAGGTTGGGGGTCCCTTATGTAGTTTTAAAAATCTGATAATCGTTTTTGATTCATCTTAAGATTGTAACATACATGTAAATTTCCGCCAAAATTTGAAAATTTGGAGGTCCCTTTGGTTCACCCTAAGGTTCCCACATTTCAAGCCAAAGGACAGGTTTAAGACTAATAGTAGTTGAAATAATAAAGCACATCTTTTTTTAAGTTTTCTATTTAATCTACTATATAGCCAAGACTGTAGACTTAATTGAAAATTTCGGGGTTCCCTGCTTGTCCCCTAACTTGTGGTGGTCCCAGTGTTGATTTTCAGTGAATTCCAAGTGTCTACATCAGTTACTCGATATAATCTCAATATGTACTGAGATTTTCGTTTAAATTGGGGAATACTGCTACAAAATACACTTGAAAAGCAATTAAGGCATCAAGGGGTTTATAGGGTCATCCTGGGGCCCCCCTCATGCATTTTAAAAAATCTGAGAACCGATTTCTATCTCATTGTAAGAGCGTAAAAATCATGTAAAATTTTATCAAAATCAAACCAGTTTGAATTTTTTGGTGTCCCTTTGGGGCACCCTGGTGGTCCCAGTCTCGAGAGAAACGAAAATCAATATAGCGTATAATAAGAGTGACAGTAAGTTGCATAAACTTATCAAGTTACATTAAAATCGGCCTAAGGGTTTAAACTTCAAGTCTGAAAGTTTAAAAACAACCAAATTAATGGAAATTACTACGCGAACACACACACACAAACACACATAGTCAGTTATATATATATATATATATATATATATATATATATATATATATATATAAGATAGAAGATAAATGTAGCTTATTTAGAAAAATATTTACTTATTTTTTACCATGAGATGAGTTTTCTGCACTATAGTAGAACGTTAGTCTCAATATACTTGCTTTTTTATAAATCGTGCACTTGGGCACTATGTTATATTATAAAATCATAGATAGATAGATAGAGATAGATATGAACTGACTGAGACAGATAAATAGATATGAACAGACTGAGATAGATAGATAGATAGATAGATAGATAGATAGATAGATATGAACAGACTAATACATATATATATATATATATATATATATATATATAGATAGATAGATAGATAGATAGATAGATACTGCGAAATATATATATATATATATATATAGATAGATAGATAGATAGATAGATATGAACAGACTGAGATAGATAAATACTGCTATATATATATATATGTGTGTGTGTGTGTGTGTGTGTTTATATATATATATATATATATAGATAGATAGATAGATAGATATAAACAGAATGCGGTAGATATATAGATAGATATAAACAGACTGAGATAGATATATAGGTAGCTATAAACAAACTGACATCGATAGATAAGTAGATAGATACAAAAATGTGGAGAACTGTAGATAGATAGATAGATAGATAGATAGATAGATAGATAGATTTGTGTGGCTCCATTCGTTTAAATTTTTACACCGAATGTTTTACGCAATAAGCAAATTAGGTTAGGCTTTTAATTTGTCAAGGAAATGGCAAAGAAAATAAATTCTTTAATCCACAGAGGAAATCGTCTGAAAGCCTGATCAAAAATGTGTCTCTATCATGGAATGAAATATGCGTCTCTCTAAGCAAATATCTACAAAATTTGACACGTCTATCATTAAATAAATAAAAAAGCACTTCTCAAACATTACAGAGAGAAATGGTTATTCTTCGCCTCTTGCCAGTTCCACGGATGCCAAATTGTGGAGTAGACAATTTCTATTTAGAATATTGAGAAAAGTTTGCTTATTGATAATTTCCTCGCTAGGATTTTTTATTCAATTAAAATTGAAACAAAACAACTGAAAGAATGTTTCTGTAAAAATATTATCCTACACATACATTGGTTTCACAAACACTGCATTGTCACGTGGATTAATATAAAGTGTACGCCTCAAAATATATAGACACTTTAAATAATTATAAAGTCAGCGTTTATTAAAATACATTCCATTTTCAAAATTCAATAGAATCTGCAGACATTATTTTATTGTTTTGTCAACGCCTGTTTTCAAACTGACATCCATTCTGGTTCAGGTACTGCAGACAACGCGAAGCAATGGAATCGCAACCATCACCAAATATTTCGTTTGGTATTATTCTGGTTAAATGGTTGCTCTCAATTCAGTGAAAGTTGCATGTTTCATAACGCACACTTATATCGAGTAACTGAAGTAGTCAATTGGAATTCACTAAAAATCAAGTCTTTTAAGTATCCACAT